CACACACACACAGACACACCCCCTCATGTGCACACACACATCTCTTTTTCTTTCCTGGGGCCTGTGTCCAGCAGTGCTTACATTTTTTTAAGTGCTTTCATATAAATGTAAGATGATCTTGTTAAAGGGTGAAATTTGCAAAGGTAAAACAAGTTGTATTCAGGTTTCAGAAAATACATAAAATTATGAGGTTTTTTTTTTAATGGAACATATAAACTGACAGGATTGGAGGAAATCTAGACAAAAGTGACTGAGGATATTAAGGTGTTAGGAAGAACCCATTTCACATCTCCATCTGAAACTTTCTTTTTTTAGTAGCTTCAGGAAATTCATAAATTACAAAGCAGATGAACAAAGGTAGTGAAACATTATCTGGCATCCATGCTCAGAAAAGCTCAAAATGAAAAAGAGCGAGGCTTAGTTAGCCTCCTCTCACTGGAGAAGTATCAGTTCTGTGTCTCCAGCGGCCCCGGACCAAGTGCTGGAGACAGAAAAACGACCAGACCCACCCCTGCCTGTAGGAGTCGATGTCCACAGAGGACACGAGACACACAAACAGCCATCACAGCAAAGAAACAGAGCTTCTGCAGCTGGGGTCCATTGGATTGAATCACAAACACTCCTGAGCTTTTCCTGGAAAAACAGTGGACACCCAACTATAGAGGAATGCACGTAACTCTTGCCCTGAATGAAGACTCTGGAAGAAAGAATGAAATGATCATGATAAGTTAAAACTGTGAAGACAAGATGAAATCCTGAAGGGGCACATCCGTGCAAGATGTTACAGCTAGAAATTACTGTAACAGCATCAGTAACAAGCATCACCCCCACCCCCAAACCACCAGCTCGTGAGCAGGATGGGAGACAGTGGGCTGCGGCACTGCTGCCGGCGTCCCCCATGACCAGAACTTAAGTATATAAAAATCTAAACTTTCGTCAGTGATAGATTAGAGGCTTAGTCCTAATACACACAGGATTTTATTGTAGTGAAATAGACAAGATTGACTGTTTCAGTCATTCACAAGCTTGCATTTCAGTGACATGTCCGTCACCCCCGTCTGTCTCCAGCGCTCCCTCATCACCCCAGACTGAGAACCTGCCCCCACTAAACAACAGAGATTTGGTTTATAACAAGATAATTACCTCAGTGTTTCTTTTAATTAAGAGCTTATGATTATACCAAGTTTAAAATATGACCACAGTTTTAAAAATTCTGTTGTTTTTAGTGGTGATTGATTTACTGATCTCTAGACCTCTGTGTCGTAAGCAGAACAGATGGCCCAGGTCTCAGCTTGCTTGTGTGGAATGGAACGTCACACAGCACCCACTGCTGGGACGGAGAGGTGGAATTTGAGGTGCAGAGTTTGGGAGCGATGTTTGTGAGGAGGAGCATGACTGGCGTGGGTGACTGGACTTTAACCACGAGGTGACAGGGAGGGCGGAAGGATTCTGCCTGGGGCGCTGGCCCTTCCTGGCTTGATGGTGGTGTCGCCGTCCTTTGAACCGGCCGGGCCACACAGGGAGAGCTGTGCCGCCGGCCATGTGCCTCCGCTGTTCTCCACCGCTTGGCCGTCTCACTGGTCCAGGAGGCAGACACCCTGGACTCAGACAGCATTTTTCTAGACAGTCTCGTTTGCTGTAATAAGTTTTAAAGGGTAAAGGATAGGATGCGAAGAGAGGTGTAAAAACCGACACACATCTCCTAAGGGAGAGGCCACGGGCACGACGTGTGTGCTGCCCTCGGGAACGGGGGCCAGGGCGGCAGAAGGAACGGCCTCATTGCCGTTGCTGAAGAGAAGAAAATCGGCTTATTCCAGACTGACTTTGGATGAAGGAGGTTTTTGTGGGGGAGGAATGAAATGTCAGAGGCTGGCAGTTTCTCTCCTTGAATGTTTTGAAGAAAACTGTCTGTCTTGTACGGTTGAAGTAACTCCCCACCTGAGGTCTGGACCATGAGTGTTTCCTGATTTCAACACGCACATTTTAGGCGAAAAGAACGACACGATATTAGAGTTAGTCTCCGTCTGCGTGAGGAAGAGCTGGCTCAGACTTGCTTCCCTTGCCCTCCACCTGGTGACTCTCCGTGTTCCCTTCCCGACAGGCGGACCTGCGGAACCAGCTGGGCGACGCCGGCTACGTGGTGTTCGGAGTGGTCCTGTTCGTGTGGGAGCTCTTACCTACCACCTTAGTGGTCTTCTTCTTCCGAGTTAGGAGTCCTGCAAAGGACCTGGTCAGTAAACCGCTTTATCTTTGCAGAAGCATCTCCTAATTCTCATCACGAAGCAGACAGAATTTTTCCTAAGATTTTCAGTGGAGAGCCTCTTCCGCCCTCTTCTGATATGAAAAGTTCCCTTGTTGATTTAACTGAGACTTTCTTTCCATTCCTTTAATCATCTTCTGAGGGAAATTTGTTTTTCAGTTTAGTTTTATTTTACAAAAAAAAGGGGGGGCGGGGGGAGAGAGGGGAGGGGAGCAGCCGAGCAGTGGAGCGCGTGCTCAGTGTGCGCAGGGTCCTGGGCTCCGTCCCTAAACCCTAAACCCTTCCAGTGCCTCGTTTTCCCTCTTTCCCTGCAGGCAGACAGCTCACATTTTCCGGGAACCTTGTGTGACCAGGGGACAAAGGATGAGTCTCTTAACAAAACCCCCTTACCCCGTGGGCCCTCTCACCACTTCCTGGTGTCCCAGAGGCGCAGGAGCTCGACCCCCTACCCCCAGGGAAGTCCTGAGGAAGGCGTACACCTGCGTCCCAAGGAGGGAAAGGCTGTTGCTCAAAGTGCTGTCTTGGTTTTGGGGTTTTTGTTTGGTTTTTTGTTTGTTTGTTTTCCTTTCTCTGCAAGCTATTTTTATAGAAGTCTAGTCAGTGTACAACGTTGTGTCAATTTCCGGTGCGCAGCATGTTTCAGTCACACACAGACACACATGTATCCCTTTTCATATTCTTTTCCATTATAGGTTATTACAAGGTATTGCATATATTCCCTGTGCTGTACAGAAGAAATCTCTTGTTTATGTACTTTGTATCTAGGATCTGCTACTCTCACAGCACTGTCTTGTTAAATGAATACAGAGCAACGTGGATACTCTTACGGTCCAGGGGAGCTTGTCAGCCTCGACACGCACTTGGCTGCTGTGTTTGAATATATCTGATACTTAAGGTATTAGAGCAGTGGTTCCCAGTCTTTTTGGTCTCTAGATGCTTCACACTGATGAATTATTTGTTGTTTTGCTTGCTTTTTTTTATTGAGGTAAAATTGAAGGCATATATTAGTCTTTGGTGTGCAGTGTAATGATCCGATATTTATGTCTGTTGCAAAATGGTCACCACCTAGAGTTTCCAGATTTTTTTGTGACGGGAACTGGCAAGACCCACTCTTTTCACGACTTTCAGATATGCAGTACAGTGTTAACTGTAGTTGCCGTGCTGTGCGCCAGTCCCCAGGACTTAGTTTCTCACTGGAAATCTGTGCCTTTTGACCCCTATCATCCACTCCCACCTCTGGCAACCGCCAGTCTGTTCTCTGTATCTGTGAGCTTAGGGTTGGTTTGTTTTTAGAGTCCACATATAAGTGAGATCATGCGGTATTTATCTTTTTTTGTATATATATATATTTTTATTGAAGTACAGTCAGTTTACAACGCTGTGTCATTGGTGTACAGTATAAAAAAGTTTCATCTTTTTTTAGTTGACTTATTTCACTTAGCATAATGCTTTCAAGGTCCAGCCATATTTTTGCAAATGGCACGATTTCATTATTTTTTGTGGCTGAATATTTCTGTGTGTGTGTGTGTGTATCGCATTTTCTTTATCCATTCCTGCCTCGCAGGACATTTAGGTTATTTCCACTCTTGGCTGTTGTAAGGAATGCTGCAGTGAACATGGGGGTGTATGCATCTTTTTGAATTACTGTTTTCGTTTCCTTCAGATACATATTCAGAAGCGGAATGGCTGGATCATGTGGTGGTTCTATTTTTAGTGTTTTGAGGAGCCGCCACAGTGGCTGCACCATTTACATCCCCACCAACAGTGCACAAGGGCTCCCTTTTCTCCACGTCCTCGCCAAACTTGTTGTCTCTTGCCTTTTTGATAATAGCCGTTCTGACAGGTGTGCAGTGGTACTTGGTGTGGTTTTGATTTTTATTTCCTGATCATGAATGATGTTGGGCACTTTTTCATGTTCCAGTTGGCCTTTTATATGTCTTCTTTGGAAAATGTCTCTTTTGGAAAAATGTTCAGATCCTCTGCCCATTTTAAAATCAGATTGTGGTGGTGTTTGTTGTTTTTGCTGTTGAGTTGTATGAGTTCTTTATGTGTTTTATGTATCAACCCCTTACCACACATAGACTTCGCAGGCATTTTCTCCCATTCGGTGGGCTGCCTTTTGATTGCGTTGATGGTTTCCTTTGCTCTGCAGCAGCTTTTCATTTTGATGTAGCCCCGCTTGTTTATTTGTGCTTTCGTTTCCTTTGCTTTTGGAGTCAGATCCAAAAAATCACCAAGACTGATGTCAAGCTTGCTGCCTGTGTTTCCTTCTGGGAGGTTATGGCTTCAGGTCTTACATTTGAGTCTGTCATTCATTTTGAGTTAATTTTTGTGTACGGTGTAAGATAGTGGTCCATTTTCCCCGACACCATTTACTGAAGAGAGTGTCCTTTCCCCACTGAAGGTTCTTGGCACTTCGTTGTAAATGAGCTGGCCGTGTCTTCGTAGGTTCCTGTCTGAGCTGTCCACGCTGCTGATCTGTGCGTCTGTTTCTGTGCCAATACCATTTTGCTTTGATTGCTGTAACTTTGGAGTATAGTTTGAAGTCAGGGGGCACGATGCCTCTGCTTTATTCTTTTTGCTCGGGATTGCTTTGGCTGTTCGGGGTTACACTGATGGATTATCGAGGACCCCAGAATGCTTTTGTTTGGGGGTATGTGTGCGAGAGAAAATTTTTTAATTCCTCAGTTTATTAATTCATTATTAATAAACCCATGTTATTACAAATTTCTTTTTTATAGAAAAAAGAACTATGTTTTCCAAAACAAATGATGGAGAATAATAGTATTGTTTTAAAATTTTGTGAATCTATTTTAATAGCTGGCTTAATAGAATACAGCTGGGTTCTCACAGCTGCTTCTGCATCCAATCTGTGATGTGTTTTGCTTGAAGTACATGAAGAAAACCCAGCCTCACAGAGATACATAGTTGCAAAAATGAGTATTTTAATACCTTTTTACTATAATGGCAAACATTCTTTAATATACATCCAAACTCAGTAAGTTGTGATTTCTTAAAAGCCAGCTGCAGTGTGGAATGTAACCCCTATCAGTGCACTTTTCAGAGCGTGTTACACAGGAGCACCTGCTGGTTTACCTTGCGCTTTGAGTGGACCTTTTTACCCATGCGTGGTTTTGTAATGTCTTGCACTGATCATTTGGAAAATACTGGTTTATTGAGTTATGTGGATCTTCTAAGTTAAGTTTTCCTTATACGGTATCAAAAAAATTCTCATGCATTAATATCACCACTGATCATCAGAAAAATCTTTTAACTTTTGCGAAGCTGTCAAGCTCATGGTAGGGAACACACATCTTTCAAAGCTTTAATCTTAGCTTAAAATGAAGTGCATGTGAGGCCTGGTGTCTGAGTGTCCTGACCAGCTGACTGTCCTTCTAGACCAACCCGGGAATGGTCCCCAGCCACGGATTCAGTCCCAGGTCTTACTTCTTTGACAACCCTCGGAGGTATGACAGTGATGATGACCTTGCCTGGAACGTTGCCCCTCAGGGACTTCAGGGAAGGTAAGACCCCAGCTCCTGTCAGAAGGGCACGAGCTGGATGAGAGCCCTGGGACTGGAGGCAGGGTCAGGGGACAGGAGGAGGAATGGGGAGGGCCGCCTGTGAGACTAACTGCAGCTGAGGACAGGCCTGCCCCAGGGTCAGGGCTTCACCCCCTCCCTCAAGGCCACGGGCAGGGTCGGCCAGCAGGCCAGCAGGAGGGGGTAGCCCTTGGACCCCCTCTCCCTTTCCCCAGCCCATGACACTCCCACCACACCACCCTGCCAGGGACCAGCACATCCCCTCGTTCCCCGGGGACCCTGGACTTCAAGGCCAGCAGGGGCGAGGGGAGCTGGCGGGGGTGGGGGCAGGCCTGGTGTTCCCAGGACCCCCGGGCCTTTCCTCTGAAAGGGACGCTCCAGGCTGTGTTTCTCAGAAGTGAGACCTTGTCTCCTGCAGTCCTTTGTCAGGTCCCCCCACCCCCGGGCAGGGTGAGAGAGAGGCTGTGCCCGCTTTTCTGCTCTTCTACTAACAGTGATACCCTTGGGAAACCTTGAAAGAGACCCAAAGGGAGCCCGGGCTGTCGGGACAGGGAACTGAGGACGAGCCGGGAGCACACACTGCTTTCTCAGTGGATCTGGGAGCAGAGAGATCCTGGTCAGAGAATCCAGGGTGGGGCTGGGGAGGAGACCAGGCAGGCAGCCCCCCAGCCGGCGCTGTGAACAACGTGGAAGCCAGTAGTGTGCACGGAGGACAGGGTCCAAGGGGCCTGACCCTCCTCTCTGAAACCGTCCTTGTGGAGGGGACAAGGTGGGCTGGTGTGGGCGGTAGAGGGATTCACCGAAGACACAAGATGAAAATAGAGTTTATTGGGTTATGCTGCCATAGACCACAGCAGGCCACACGGACGAGAGGCGCCCGTGGGAGCCGCGAGGGCCGGCTGTTGGCGTCTTTAACAAGGTCGCGTCACAGGGGCCTGACCGGCTCGGGCACGGGGCTCTGGGCGGCTGCAGGTGAGGTGAGAGGCTTAGGGCCTGGGAAGGGCGATGGGGTTTGTGACTGACACGGGGGGCTGAAAGCAGCCCGCCTGAGCTGGCGTGAGGTTGGGCGTGACCCGGCTGTTGGGTTGTTAGGGCAGACGCGCCAGTGAAGAGTGTCCTTCACCTGCTGAGGGCTGGCAGGCGGGCATCGGGGAGCCCACGCGTGGGCGCCGCTGGGCCCGGCGGGCTGTCCGCTGGCCCCTCAGTCCTGTTACCCAGTGACCTGACTGCTTCCCGACTTGCTGTATGTGTCCCCCCCACACCCCCGGGACGGCCCACACCCCTCACCTGCCGGGAGCGACACAGAGCTGAGGGCGCCCTGGCGACCCCTGTGGCAGAGGAGACCCCTTTTCCATGACGCAGAGGAAGCTGGGAAGAGTAACAGCGCTGAGCGCGGTGACTAGAGGCCAAGACGCTGCTCTGAGCGCTGCCCGGGGGCTGGCTCAGCCCCACCGAGGTAGTCCCTGCTCTAACAGGAGGTAAAACCGAGGCACAGAAGCCACACACGCAGTGAGCTCTGCTCCGCTAGGATTCGGATACCACTTGTCGCTGAATCATCATGTCGTTACCAGCAGTTGTCTTATGGGTCCAGTGATGCTGTGCTTCTGGGCTCTTTCGGGTTGGTGGCTTCAGGGCAGACTTCTAGTCACCGTGTGAAGCACTGTTTTGTGGGGAAGGGGCTTCCAGGAGCCGCTCTGGAAAGCTTTGGGGCTGCCTTATTTACAGGAGACCCCATTCTGCCCAGACCAGACATGTCAAGACCGGCAGAGACAGTGTCCCCAGGCGCTGACACGCCCCTTTCTTTCCCAGCTTTGCTCCGGACTACTATGACTGGGGACAGCAAGCGAACAGCGTCCTGGCACAAGGGGGAACTTCGCAGCCAGATTCAGTTTTGGATCCTGACAGACCGAGCCACGGGTAGCGTCAGTTAACAGTTTTATGGAAGATTCCTCAGTTGAAAAGCTTCAGAAAGACTAATGTAATGACAACTGAACTTTAGGGCACTTTTCCTTAAGAAATAGGACTTGATTTTTATTTGTCACAGGTTTCTGATGGCTCCATAGGACTAAGCAATAATTTAGATTGATAAAACCGTATTTTAGTACTAAAAAGTGAGCCTGGCTGCCAACTTCAGCAGCTGTAATTTAAACTTTAAAAAAATTCTGTACTTTTATAAAGATGTATTTTATATAACTTAAATAATAATGCTAAAATATACTAGGGTTTTTTGAGAATATTACTGCAATATATGTTGTAATTTGCACAGACTTTTATGCATAATTCACTTTAAAAGGATACAGGACATGGTCTGATGGTTTTTTTTTAAAGGCTTTTGGACTAAAGTAGTCTTCAGATCCTTACCTCTTCAGGTCACTCAGATTCTGAGCTCCATGCTGGTAGAGACTAACTATAATCGACATCTAGAAAGCCGGTTGCAACCCGCGTTGAAGGTTGTAACGTAGCAGAATGTCAGCGGACTGCGTGTGAGGGAACTGGCTCCTCAGAGCTGTTCAAAGCCCAGGTGGTTGGGCCCTCGAAGAATCTCCTGTATGTTGCCAACATTTAGTGCTGCTCTAAACAAGGCGCTAGTGCAGACACTACGCTGGTAAGTTGATAACGTTAAGAGCATTGATAGAATCGACTCACGCTGGCAAAGCTCCCCTGCTGTACTGGAGACTTCTGCATGCTTTGTGAGACCCGCCGCCTCGGGACTCTGCGGGACTGCCCCTCTCCCAGCTCACTGCACATCCATCCGTCCATGGGCAAGGAAGAGGGTCTCACCAGGGGATCGGTAACAAATCCCCCTGGGTCCTTGAGCCAAAAGCCTGGAATCCTAGCAGCTTTCTTTTAGTTTCCAACCACATTAAGGAGCTGTGAGAGCAGCCCGCTGGAGGCTGTGCGCTTGACGTGGGAGCAGCAGGGCCCTGCTGTCTAGCACAAGGGCCGTCTCTCAGCCACGTGAAGGGGCTCACTGTTGTCATTCATGTAAGTGAAACACATGTCGTGACGTACTAGTTCCCCAGCCGTTAAGTGCCATTCTAGAATCTCCAAGCGTGACACATGTAATGATGATGCGTATATAACATCTAGCCTGCAGTTGTAAACTGCCTGCGGTAGGAGCGCATACCCGGCTGTCAGGGAGGTCGCACGCTCGCTCTTCCTACGGAACGGAGTGACCTACCAGAGGCAGAAAGTGCCCCCCGCTCGGCCTAGGGGACCTCCCATCTCGGGACAGAGGCAGGGAGGGGCAGGCGGAGAGGAGCTCACACTGGTCAGTTCTGCCTGAGTGAGGATGCCCGTTTCGGGTGTCTCGGACCTACCATTTCAGTCTTCAGGCGTAACTAATCTCTGGGCATTGATTTCACAGTGATCAAAGTCTGCTTCTCTTGATGGTTCTATTTAAAACTGGGATCTCAAGTTTGAAATGGGTCAGGATCGGGCTTTTCCTTGGCCCGGAACACCTCTGCCCTGCATAGTCACACAAAACATACTTGCCTTTCAGTGGGTGGAAGAATTTGGGTCACATATTTAACATAATTACTGCCAGGGAAAATTCTACACTGAAGCCAAATTTGCACTGACTACGCCAGTTGCCTTAAAACGGTACAGTTGCTGTTCTGAGTAGCTTTACGAACACCCTACCTGCCACACTGTCTCTGTTACTGATATTTAGGAGAATTTAAAGGCAGATCAGCAAATGCTTAAAAACCCTTTAAATGGTGCTTTCAGGAAATACTGTAGCTCTTCAATATTCGGTCACTGAAGGGCAGATGTGTTTTTAAAAGCGTCACTAAAGCCATGCGGTTTTTATACTCATCCTACAATGATGGACAGATACTTTATTATTCTGATTATTGGCAGGAAGATCGAAATACTCAGCGTTAACTGGTAAAAGCCATAACCCATTTTTATGATAGAGCTGCTAGCATTTATTTGAACTGTTACTTTTTATTGGAAAGGATAAAAATGTTCTCAGTGCCTGTTTTTCTCTTCTTCCCTTTTTAAAAAATAATGCTGAAGCACAAATGTTGTAAACACATCTAGAATATAAAAAACTGTGATTGTAGCGAACTGTCTCTCTCTCAAGGTAAACGATCGCACGTATCCTGTGAAATGTTGCAGGTGTGCTGTGGAAAGGAAGATTACAGTTTTCTGCAGCTTCCTGAGTTGCTTGTGCAAGCTGCACTAACAAAGCTACTCGCAGGTGAACTGGTGAAGGCAAAGGGAAGGCAAGGAGTGGTGACTGCTGGCTCTAAAATACCCAAGTGTTCTCTCGGTCTAAGGCAACGTGATGAAACTAAAAGCCCCACAATTTGAAAGTTAAAAAAGCATGGGGAAGAGGCACTTACATCACTGAAAATTTTGTGCCATGATTTATCGAAGTCTGACTCGGCACTAGAAGGCTGCACGTGACAGTTTCTTTGCATCCAGTAGAAACATGAATAGATGTCCACACTTCCGAGTTAACTGTCGAAAAACTTCCATCTGATTTGGGTACAGGCAGACCTCGGAGATCCTGCAGGTTCGGCTCCAGACCACCGCAATAGAGCAAGCACTGCAGTCAAGGGAGTCGCGGGAACTCTGTGGCCCCCCAGTGCGTGCAAAAGGTATGTTTACACTACACTGCAGTCAGTCACTAAGTGTACAATATATTGTCCTAAAAAAAGTTGTACACACCTTAATTAAAAAATACCATATTGCTAAAAATAAAAAGTGCTAACCATTATCTGAGCCTTCAGCAAGCCGTAATAGTAACATCAAAGGTTACTGCTCACAGGTCCCCATAACAAATGTAGGAATACTGCGAGAATTGCCAGAATGTGACACAGACATGATGCGAGCAAATGCTGTTGGGAAAAAAATGGCACCGAGACTTGGCACGATGCAGCGTTGCCCCAAACCTTGAGTTTGTGGGGGGAAAAATGCACTGTCTGAAGTCCAGTAAAGCAAAGCGCAGTCAGGCGAGGTCTGCCTGGAGGCGTCTTTCAGGGCCCTCATTCCTTTCCACAGTTAACGCCCCTTTACGTGAGCCGATGATGAAACCGCCGGAGTGTCCACACACACAGCCGTGGACTGTGAGAGGGTCTGACCTGACGGGGTGCGCACGGCAGCCCCGTGCAGCACGCCGACTCCTCCTGGCGTCCGTCAGGCACGTTGTTAAGGACTCGGCTGGTGTCCCGTTGAGCTGCTTACGCCAGGCTCA